TGTACAGCAGTATTCCAGCCTAGAGAGAACAAGTGATTTGAAAAGGATCATCATGGGCTTGGCATCTCTCGTTTTGAAAGTTCTCATTATCCATCCTATCATTTTCTTTGCACGTGCGATCGTGGCACTGTTGTGATCCTTGAAAGTGAGATCCTCAGACATTACTACTCCCAGGTCCCTTACATTATTTTTAGGTGAGTACACACACATTCAAGACTGTACAACGTGTACGTCAGGCCCATATTGGAATATGCAGAGTATTCAGCACCAATATGGAACCCACACCTGGTCAAGCATGTCAAGAAATTAGAGAAAGTGTGAAAGTTTGCAATAAATCTATTCTCGGAGCTATGGGGTATGTCCTACGAGGAGAGGTTAAGGGAAATCAACCTAACGACAGGAGTGATACGGAGACATGATAACGACATATAAAATATATAGAGGAATATTTCAGAGGTGGGACATAGCAACAAGGGGGTCATAGGAATGTTAAGTATTATTTCTTCGATCATAGAGTTGTCAGGAAGTGAAACAATATGGAGGGTGATGTAGTGGAGGCAGGATCCATGCACAGCTTTAAGAGGTACGAAAAAGCTCATGGAGGAAGGAGAGAGTGGACCTAGTAGCGACCAGAGAAGAGGCGGGGCCAGGAGCTGTGAATCGACTTCTGCAACCACAAACAGGCGAGCACACGCATACACACACATACACATACTCAAAGACTCAGGAAAAAGAGCATATACAACCTACCTTAGAACCACCTACAGAAGGACCTCAACCCGGACAACTCCGATGCAGCTAAACAATCTAAGCAAAAACTCCACCACCGCACCCACTGCCGCAACCTCCCTCATCACAAACTGCACCTTCACATCAACCCACCATAGTTCTCCGCCAGGTCTCCCGCTCCCCCAACCCCAACGTTCTCCCCAGACCTCACTTATAGAAAAGAAGTTGAAGGTTTGGTATACAAACAGAGACGGAATAACAAATAAATGTGAAGAATGGCATGAAAGAATCAAGGAGACATCGCCAAACATTATAGCACTCACAGAAACAAAACTCACCGAGATGATAACAGACGCAATTTTTCCACCTGGATATCAGATCCTGAGAAAAAATAGAGGAAGCAGAGGGGGAGGAGGAGTTCCACTGCTCATTAAAAGCCTGTGGGGATTTGAGGAAATGGAAGGAATGGACGGAAGGGGCGAAAGAGACTACAGAGTAGGAACAATTCAGTCTGGGGATCCTAAGCTAAGGTGGTAATTACAGTGATGTACATCCCACCATACAAATGCAGGAGGCCAAGAAAAGAATATGTAGAGAGCAACAGAGCAATGGTGGACACACTAGCTGAGGTGGCCAGAAGCACTCACATGGGTAGAGCAAAGTTACTAGTCATGGGTAATTTCAATCACAAGGAGATTGGGGGTCCCCAGACATGGAGAACCAAGATGATTAGATGTGGTACCGGAAAACCTCATGCATCAGCATGTTAGGGACACCACCAGAGAGAGAGAGAGGTGATGATGAGCCAGCAAGACTGGACCTCGTAGTCGCCTTGAGTGGTTCGCATAAGGCCCACCAGAGCTAGTGACCACTTGGTTCTGCGCTATGAATACTTAGTACACTGCTCATAGGTACACTGCCGGTTGACTGCTATAAGGTACACTGCTATGAGGTACACAGCTGGTAGGTGCACTGCTGGTAAGTGCAATACTGGTAGGTACACTGCTGGTGGGTACACTGCTGGTGGGTACACTGCTGGTAGGTACACTGCTGGCGGGTACACTGCTGGTTGGTGCACTGCTAGTGGGTACAATGCTGGTAGGTACACTGCTGGTGGGTACACTGATGGTGGGTACACTGCTGGTAGGTACACTGCTGGCGGGTACACTGCTGGTTGGTGCACTGCTAGTGGGTACAATGCTGGTAGGTACACTGCTGGTGGGTACACTGAGGAAGTCCAGAGGTCATACTGCAGCTTTATACATCATTAGTAAGGCCTCACCTAGATTACGCAGCTCAGTTCTGGTCTCCATATTACAGAATGGACATAAATTCGTTAGAAAACATTCAGCGTAGGATGACTAAATTAATACATAGCATTAGAAATCTTCCTTATGAAGAAAGATTGAAGACTCTTAAGTTACATTCACTTGTTAGACGAAGAATGAGGGGAGACCTGATCAAAGTGCATAAGTGGAAGATAGGTATTAATAAAGGGAATATTAATAAGGTCTTGAGGATGTCTCTCCAAGAGAGAACCCGCAGTAATGGATTTAAATTAGATAAGTTTAGATTTAGAAAGGACATAGGAAAGTATTGGTTTGGAAATAGGGTAGTTGATGAGTGGAACAGTCTACCTAGTTGGGTTATTGAGGCTGGGACTTTGGGTAGTTTCAAATTTAGGTTGGATAAGTACATGAGTGGGAGGGGTTGGATTTGAGTGGGACTTTCACATCAGAGCTTATTTCTTGGGTGGCATTGAAAATTGGGT